ACTCGGTTTTTGTTGGTTACATTTTCCAGTTAGGATTATGGCTTTATAAAGAGAGGTAAGGACCATCTGATAATTTGATTTGACTTGAGTGTTAGATGTCTTGCCCTGCTTTTGGTGCAGTCCGTGTTAGATGGTGCAAGGATATCAGACATGATTTGTTTGCATTATCACATTGTGCATTGGGGAAGGTCTTGGCTGAAGAGAGTCTGGGTGTCTCTTGTGGCTGTGTGTATTGCAAATACAATACCTCATCAGTGCTCTTTGTGAATATTTCCTGTTTCTCATAAAAATTATGTGTCATTCTTTCAGTGCTGGTGAAACTGAGGCTCAGAAAAAGCTTACTGCATTTACTGAAAGACTGCCAGAGCATAGAACACCAGAGAAAACATAACTTTACTTCTCAGTGAGTTACGCAGCACTAACACAAAACAGTAAAACCACAAGTGATTTTTAGGGACTGATAGTATGACTCCCTTTAAAAAAGGACATCAAGGTGCTGGAGTGAATCCAGAGAAGGGCAATGAGGCTCATAAAAGGTCTAGAAAACATGTCGATGAGGAACAGCTGGGGGAATTGGGTTTATTTAGCCTTGAGAAGAGGTGGCTCAGGGGTGAACTCGTGTCTCTCTACTAATACCTGAAAGGGGGTTGTAGAGAGGTGGAGGATGGTCTCTCCGGCTATGCCTGTAGTGAGAAGGCTAGAGGGAATGGTCATAAGCCAAGGGACATAAGACAGGGGAAAATCAGATTAACTGTGAGGAACAGCTGGGGGAATTGGGTTTATTTAGCCTTGAGAAGAGGTGGCTCAGGGGTGAACTCGTGTCTCTCTACTAATACCTGAAAGGGGGTTGTAGAGAGGTGGAGGATGGTCTCTCCGGCTATGCCTGTAGTGAGAAGGCTAGAGGGAATGGTCATAAGCCAAGGGACATAAGACAGGGGAAAATCAGATTAACTGTTAGGATTTTTTTTCACTGTTAGGGTGGTCAGACACGGGAATCTAGGGAGGTCTCATAAAAATTATGTGTCATTCTTTCAGTGCTGGTGAAACTGAGGCTCAGAAAAAGCTTACTGCATTTACTGAAAGACTGCCAGAGCATAGAACACCAGAGAAAACATAACTTTACTTCTCAGTGAGTTACGCAGCACTAACACAAAACAGTAAAACCACAAGTGATTTTTAGGGACTGATAGTATGACTCCCTTTAAAAAAGGACATCAAGGTGCTGGAGTGAATCCAGAGAAGGGCAATGAGGCTCATAAAAGGTCTAGAAAACATGTCGATGAGGAACAGCTGGGGGAATTGGGTTTATTTAGCCTTGAGAAGAGGTGGCTCAGGGGTGAACTCGTGTCTCTCTACTAATACCTGAAAGGGGGTTGTAGAGAGGTGGAGGATGGTCTCTCCGGCTATGCCTGTAGTGAGAAGGCTAGAGGGAATGGTCATAAGCCAAGGGACATAAGACAGGGGAAAATCAGATTAACTGTTAGGATTTTTTTTCACTGTTAGGGTGGTCAGACACGGGAATATTGCCTAGGGAGGTGGTGAAGTCACCATCCCTGGAAATGTTTAAGTGATATCTGGATCTGGCGAGGAAGGATATGGTTTAGGGTTTAGGGGTTACAGCAGAGTGGCAGGTTAATGACTGGACTTGATGGTCTTAGAGATCTCCTCCAACCTTGGTGATTCTATGAGTCAGTGTTTCTAAGGCAAATTTTCTTACATACCATATCGAAATGGGAAACTATATATGCAAAAATTGGTGAAAGTGAGTATGAAAATTGCTATGGCTATATGCATGATGGGTATATCCAATCCACTTACATGAAAAATTATGTTATAAAGTTAATTTATGGTTGTAATTATTTCAGCGGCTTACTGTGTTTGTGTGTCTGTTTACATGCGATCCTGAAAAGTGCCCATGGCACCTTATGCAGCCCAAACTTTTCCACCTCATATACCATATGTGAGGTGGTTTGATTGCCTCTAGTATCCATATCTGCCTAAGAACAAACACTTTTACATGCTACAAGTTATTGGCAATGCTTGTTCAGATACTTCAATCAATTTTCCACCCTATCTTCTCTTCTGAAAAAGGAAAGGTGTCAAAATATTCCTCTGTACTTGGAGCCCAAGGTTGTGGATTTCAAAGCTGTTTAAGGAATTTCAGTAAACAATTTCAATAAGGTCTTGATATTCTACCATATCAGGAATGTGAGAACAAATGCCTCACCATTAGTGTGTGTTAAAACTATTTCTGTGAGCAGATACCATATAGCATCTGTTCACCTCACATTAGCTCCACATTTAGGAAAGTCTTTTTAAAGTCTTAACCAGAACAGACAGCAAAGGGATTAAATGTTTGCATTTAAAAATGTGTGCAGTTCTTGGGGCAAGAGGGGCAAAATACTTTGAAAGTGGCACTAGTATTTCAAAATAAGTGTCAGATAATGAGATAAGGGCAACTGCTGAAAGATTGCTTTGGATCTTCTTAAAGCTGATGAATCAGTTTGTATGCATGCTAACAGGAGTTCCACTGTTTTCAATTAGTGACATATTTTGCCTTTTAGTAGTTGTCACCAACATGGCAGTTGTAAATCCAAGCAAATTTTGTTGACATCATAGTACTTTGTCCTGGCTTTGGCTGGAATAGAGTTAATTTTCTTCTCAGTAGCTGATGCAGTGCTGTGTTTTGGATTTAGTATGAGAATCCTGTTGACAGCCTACTGGTTTTTAGTTTTTGCTAAGTAGTACTTATCCTAAACCAAGGACTTTCTCAGTGTCTCATGTGCTGCCAGTGAGCAGGTGCACAAGAAGCTGGTGGGGAGACCATGGCTGGGACAGGTGACCCAAACTGTCCAAGGGGGTATTCTATACTCTGGAATATCATGCCCAGTGTATAAACCGTGGGGAGCTGGCTGGGAGGAGCTGATCGCTGCTCTGGAACAGGCTGGGAATCAGTCAGCGGGTGGTAAGCAATTGTATTGTGCATCACTTGTTTCTCTTGGGTTGTATTCCATTCTCCTTTTCATTGCTAATAGTAATAGTGGTAGTATGTTTTCTTTTGTTTCAATTATGAAACTGTTCTTGTCTCAACCCACAAGGTTTACCTGTACTTTCCAGTTCTCCTCCTCACCAGGGGCCGAGGGAGTAGTGAGTGAGTGGCTGCATGGTGCTGTTCCCAGCTTGGGTTAAACCACAGCAGAGTTATACCACTGTGAAAACTGGTATAATGCAAGAAGAGTATTAGCCTCTGGTTGTGCTTAGATTCTTTTCCTCCAAGTATAGACAGATCTACTGTGAAAAAAAAAAACTTGTCAGGCACCCAACTGTAAAGAGACTGATGCAGTTGCTATGATTAAATAAACCTCGAGCTGTTGTGATTAAATATATCATAACCCCACAGTGATCTATCATAGTTTTAAAAATAAAAATGCTATATGCAGTGTTATTCAGGAAAAAAAAGTCATCATCTCCTGAATTATACATTCTTATCTGGTCCATAATCAAGAGCCTTACATAACAAAGTGAATATTTTATCAAAAGTCAAACAATATGTTTAAAAAATCAGATGAAGCATTTAAAACTAGTGCCCTTGCATCCTAATAGTTTCGCTGGAGTTGCAGAGGTGAATACACATTCACAAAGAGCAGTAAAGAATTCAAGTTAATGTTTCTTTTCTGAAAACAATAAGAGACTCTCTGCCCTACCCCTAATCCACATGGATGCTTTACAGTTGGAACACAACAGAGTGTCACCATCCTTCAGGGCAGTGCTTTCAAATGTATTTTAAGGTTGATGAACCTGAAAAATGAGAAGATGTTCTGCAACTGGGGTGCACTATGGGGAAGTTCAGTCCCTAAAAAGAGTCACGTGTTGGGGATCCAGTATTTTCATTTTGCTCCATGCAAATTAGTCCAGAACCAGCACTCCAGCAGGTCGCTTGTGCAGGGAGCTGTCTGTGCTCCTGGCATGCTTCTTTGGGATGAGATATGAAACAGAAGACCTGCATACTTTTGGTCAATAAAGACCCTGTAGGCCATTAAGTGAGCGTGTGGGTGGTTAACGGCGGTGTCCTGGCTAGGTTTCTGCTGCGGTTATTGCATT